ATCGTTGAATAAACCCAACTTTTGTGTAAATACATTTAGTTTGTGTTTTTGTATGCATAGGTTACCGTTTTATGTTTTTCCATTTATTTTGTAGGTATTAATGCGTATTTGGAGCATGAGCAATAAAGTGTCGAAGACACGACTTCAAACAAGCAATTTTGAGCAACTCGTCAATGAATAAGGCTCAAAATAAAAGAATAAGAAATCATCAATTTATTTGATATTTTTTCATTATTAGAAGGAGTATTGAATAAGCTTTCCAATGTTTTAAACCGAGCGCAAATCAAAGTTACGGTTCAAAAGTTATGGCTGAAACAATACAGGATGCTGTGCTGATTTTTCAACCTTCTGTCATCTTTCGCCGGGCGAAAATTTTGGTCGTCGGCTGATGCTAGGCGAGCTGTAGCATGGGAAAAATGCTGTTTTTGGTCGCAGGGCGATCCTGGACAGTTAGAAATGTGTATTTAGGTGTAAAAATACATTTTATGGGGATGGTTTTGTGTATTAAAAGAGCTTAGCCTCCAACTCTGGTACCTGCAAAGAGAAAGAAGAGGAAGATTAGAAGAGAAAATTAGAGAACCCGAAGAGGAAATTACACAAAGATTCACGACACAGACGATAACCCTCATTAGTTAGCTTTTAGAGCTTAATTAACTGATTGTGATTGGTGTTTTGATTTTGTTTAATCATGCAATTTTGGTTTAAGTTGGGGTTTTTCTAGGTTTGATTTGGGGTTAGGGTTCATATTTAGGTTTAGGGTTCTTAGACACTAGGGTTAGGGTTCATCAAGTTTGCGTTTCTGGGTTTGGTTTGGGGTTACTGGGTTGTTAGGATTCTGCGTAAGGGTTAGGGTTCTTCATGAACCCTTAGGGTTCACAAGGTTTAGATGAAGGCTTCTTAGGGTTCATGCAAGAACCCTATGGTTCATAAGGTTTGTTGTTGTTCTGGGTTGGGTTGGATGAAGATCTTGAAGATCTGTGTTGGGTTTGGTTAAAGATATGAATATCCCGGTTGAACTTCAATCGGGAATCTGAGTTATACAATGGTTTGTGGTGGTTTTATGGGCTGAGGCAAAATCCGGTGGTCGGAATCCTAGAGAGAGGCCATAGCCTCTCTCTCTCTCTAAATTTTTATAACATTGTGTTTTTGTTTGGCTAGAGAGAATTAAAAATGAGCCTGGAGCTCATATTTTTGTTTATATAATACTCCCTTCACTCGTTGATGATAGACTCCTAGCCTCACGATGGCCACGCGATCAGTATACTTTGACTTATTCGATGCGTTAAGATATCATACGTCCTTAGTCAACATTCCATCTCGTTCCTCCATTTCGCATACTTTTATCCAACGCCCAAGGATTAAATCCTGGGGACCTTCTGATTAAGATCAAGTGTCAGGCATTATATTTCCACCGCAATTCCATGCTCCTCACTGCACATTGATCAAACGGACCTAGAGTCTGTATTGATTCCAAGCTTGTTCTATTTACACCCTCTCTTTATTTCCTTAGTTCAAATATATACCCCATGCGTCTTATTGGATTTAAACATAGTTCTATATTCAAACATATTTACACCCCTGCGTAAATTTAACAATTAATTAATTAATTTAATTAAATAATATATTTTGTTTATTTATTTTATTTTATTTTTATATAATATCTCATATAACTTTTTGTAAGCATATTGCATTAAAATATTTTTGTGCATTTTATCATAAAATCATTAATAAATAAATATTGGATTAATATTAAAAATATTTAATATATTTTTAATAATAAAAAAATAATTTTTTATTAATTATTTTCAAATACTAACCATATTTTCTATTAATATTCAAATATTTTCATCATTCAAACTTTTTTCCTCACATTACATCATGCATTCTAATACAACTAACCAATTAAATTTAACACTTTTTCTACTAACTTAATTTCAAATTCAACTTTATTTTAAAAAAAGGATTGTGGAGATATTTTCTATTAACTACGAACTACGTCTACGACTACATTATTTTTAAACCCAGATAAGATTCAAGAATAATTTCAAACATTTCCACAATCCATAAAAAAAACTAACCAAACACATTCGAACTATAAAATTGGACTATGATTCTCCGCAAAGAGATATGTCGGCACGCAGTTAAAACCAAGGCGATTTCAATACTAAAAAATTAAATCCTTTTCTCAACATATAGAAATAATAACTATCAAATTCCCATTTTACCCTTAAACCTAAAAGCGGTGCCCCTTGAGAACAAGGGAGATGAAGGGTGTCTAACACCTTCCCTTCGTCTAACTGACTTACAAATTTAAAATCTCTGACAAGATTAGAGTTATCCATTATTCTCCCGCCCTTAGGACAAAATTTAATGGTGGCGACTCTCGTATTTTTTACCGGCTACGACACTATGTATATTTTGGGACAAACCTGTTCAAGGCAGTAAGCGTTATTTTCAACTTCATGACTTCCTTCTTTGAGGTCGACGCGTTCATTCAGGTGAATGCTTTATATTTGTCGAGGTTGGTCTTTATACCTCTTTATGTAAGGCAAAAACCCATAAATTTACCGCCTCTGACCCCGAAGGTACATTTCTCTAGATTGATTCTAATTTTATACTATCAGACCTTCTTGAACACCCGTCTGAGATGCTAATTATGCGACTCTTTTTTAATGTATTTCACAATCATTTCATCTATATATACCTCTAATGTCTTGACTATCTCCACTTAAAAGACTTTGTTTATCATTCTTTGGTAAGCTATGTCTTCCTTCTTCAACCAAAAAGGCATTGTGTTGTGTTGGTAATTTGCTTGCTCGATCATGAATGTTGTCTTCCTTCTATCAGGCCTGAACACGGACCTTTAATTATAGCCATAAAAGTATCCATAAATGACAACAATTTGTATCTGGCCAAATTGTCTGACAATTTGTCTATATTAGGATATTGATATGAATCCTCCGGACATGCTCAATTGATGTTGGTATAATCGATGTGCATCATCCACTTCCTAAGACCCTTTTGACTAACACAACATTGGATAGCCACTAAGTATATTTTACTTCAGAAATGAAGTTGGTGTGCAATAGGCCATGGATTGTGCTAGCCATAGCTTTGGATTTTTTCTAGGAGATCTCGTTCTTCTTTGCTAGGATACATACTGGGGTTTAGGATCGATGTTCAATTGATGACAAGCCACAATTGAAGAGATTTGTGTTAGCTCTAAGACATTTAATTAATGCATTCTTCACCCCGGGTGGGAATCTGACTCTTATCTTCATTGACAGGACATGATCGTCGTAAAGTTGAATGAGCACAAAGCATCTATTAGGAACTAACCTTATTTCATCTTCATAAACATCAAAGTTGACCATATTAACTCATCATATAGCCTTTTTCGACACCACTACGATGGTGAGGTGGTTTCTTAAATGATATCATGCATAAGCCTTGTCGTCTTCAAGGACAATCGGCTTGTCAACGTCACTTTGATACTTCACTTTGAGATGGACTAGTGAGGCTACTACGTCTAACGACGCTAGGAAGGATCTCCCTAAGATACCACTTAAATCACTTTTACACTAAATTATCAGGAAATAAAGAGTTACATTATTTTCATCTTTTCTTTTTCCAAGAGATAAAGACATATATGTTGCTTCGTAGAGGCGAGTTATGGATTCGTTGAATGCGAGGAGATTCCCGTTGTCGCATGGATCTTGATCTTGTTGGCGACATCCTAGATTCATGAGTGTATTGATGTAAAGGACGTTATAAGAACTCTCATCGTCTACGATAAGATCATATACAATGTGATTCATTATTCTAGTTATTATGATCAGTGATAGCACAACATTTGAAATTTTGTCTATCTACTCGTGATCTTGAAATCCTAGCATTGATCTATCTTTCTTTTGTGATTTGGTTTCAGTCGTCGCTTGAATGAGGTTTTGCAATAGAGGTTCTTCGTGACACAATGCTTTCCCACGGATCTCATCGATGACGACGATTTAAGGCAATGCTAAATTAGGAGACTCTATGGGGTTTCTTAGTGCGATGTTAGAGGCTAGCTTCTTCATCTTGGCGTGATCTGGTAACGATTTGGCTTTTTGATCGAATGCGGTCTGATCATGGAATTTTGTAGGAGTCAAAAGTCGATTTTTCATATAAGGCATCATTGTTTCATACTGAAATCGAATTGTAATTGATTTGTGATGATGAACTTGTGATACATTGTTATGGATCTCTGTTAAGGCAACACGGAGGTGAATCTGCAAGGTTAGCACTCCAACGTCTAAATTAATTACAAAGTCCAAAATAATTGAAGTGAAAGTATTAGATCTGAAAGTGTACCTTACGTCTCACATGTGTCAATTATATATGATGGATAATTTTAATAGACTTTGCATTATTGAGTTTAATAGTCGGGCCTCGCTCGTATTAGACCTTTGACTAACTCTAAAACATTATTATTTTTCACATTTTTATTATTTAATAAATATTAAAATGTTTTTAGTTTTTACAACTTAAATATAAATAAAAAAGGAAAAATAATATAATATATTAAAAGAAGAAGTTGTGTATATGTTGAAGGAGGGGATAATGCATGTAATTATCTCTAGAAGTAGTACTATATAAGTATAAAAATTCTATTGATGTTCTTGAAAAATCAATTTATTTAAAGATTATTTTTAGGATAATTTTTTATTGCACTAGTATATTTTGTTGCTGAAATTATTGCACTAGTATACTTGATTGCATCCCTACTGTCCTGCAATCATTGTCCAAAGAAATGTCTCTTTCTTAAAGTTAGATAATAATAGTTGCTTTCATTTTGACACGAAATTGCAACACGTTGGTGCCAAACCTATCATTTCATATTCAAACGTTTCTCCTTCTAAAAGGCCAATTGTACTACTACTACTACTACACATGCTAATAATGCTATACGCTTTTAAGATTGATGCTCAACTTAGAGAGAATCCAACAACATCATCAGTTAAATGGGATTGCACATGGTGGCCATGGCTAAGTTTCATCACTTGCAACTAGCAGCAACTAGCAACGGTTTGAGTCCTGCGGTGGTGGTGGCTGGAATTGTGTGTCCGTTGTCTCTGAAGTTGTTTATGAGTTTAAGAATTTTTCGAGAAGAAGTAATTTATAAAGCAAGGTTGTTCTTGTTCCGATTGGGTCGTATTGCTTTCAACAATGAAATACTATTTGCCAATGGCACCAGGTTTGAGCGATTTCTTCGTCTAATAAGCCAAACCATTGTTCCCACATCCACTCCTACTTCAGAGGAGACATTAAACATGCTTTCAATTACCGCACTTTAATTTATTGTTATTTATTTACACCTCTGGTGCTTTCTATCCATAATAACTATGATTTCTTCTGTTTCTTATTAGTTAATGGTTTGTTGCTTCTTCTTTCTTTGTTGATTGTTGGAAAATGGCAAGATTTATGTATTTGAATGTCTTAATTCGATTTAATATATGGATTCATATTATTGTTGTTTGAATCAATTGAAAAGTTTATTGCCTTACATTATTGTTTTATTCCAAATTCATGGATTAGAATATTTTCTTTTAGTAAGAAAGTTGTTTACCGCGGTTTTTGGTAAACAACCGTTGATCCTTCAAAAGGGAAAGTCCTTTTGGTTACTCGCGGGATCGATCAGATTGATCCCAGGACATATGCTAATTTTTATGTTTGGTTTGATGTGAAAATAGATGTCTGGGAAGAACGCACGTTCGACCAAAGATAAGATGCTTGTGGTTTTAGAAAGTAAGGAAGTTAATAGAAATGCAGGTAAAGATGCAGGAAAAGTAACTTTGCAAAATAAGAGCAAAGCAATGTAAAAAAGATTTTATTAATGAAAAATGGTGTTTCCAACGTACATTTCTCAGTTTATCCTTTCACACACAGCGGGTACTTGGACAATATTTGAGTAACTAACACAATAGGTTGAACACACGAAAAAACTACACAGATTTCCTATTTTATACTAAAACTATGTAACCGTCGAGGAATGACTTTGCTCTAAGATGAAGACAAGTGTCCTCTGCATGTCCCTCGACCTCTCTCTTCCAGCCACGTCGTCTTTCCTTTAAATGTTGGCGAAACCGTCTTTCCCTCCAACAATTCAAATTCAAATATCCTTCGTCTTTGGTATTGACACGAAGGCATGTTCTTCTAGTCGAAGGTCATAGGACCTTCTTAGTCGAAATCTTGATGGTGACGCCTGGTCGAAGACCAATGTGTAACTCAGATATTTTCTCTAAGTTTTTTCCATCTGTCGAAATATTTTCCAGCTTGGCTTTATTTGTTCTATTTTTGGCCTATAAGGCCAATATATAGTAGGTGTCGAATTTAGGAGCCAATAAATTACCCCCCAAGAATGTCTATTTTGACGCTAAAAAGAAATAATCATTTTTTGATCTTTCTATTCGACACTTGTCCCCCCTTGTTGTCCACGAAAGGCTTAACGTGCGCTTTTCGTCTTCCCACGGCTGCCACTCTCAGAAACCATCATTACTCTTTTCCCAGACATCTTTTCAATCAGCCGTTACCATGCTGCCATTATGATCATTATTCCTAAAACCTAGGCAAGCATGTCAAACGTTTCCCATCATCTGCACGATCATTGCTTTGCATCGTGCCACATGCCCCACTATGTCCATATCATTAAATGGCTTTGACGAGACACATTTCCCTTTGGACACTATAAATAATCTTGAGCCTCTTCATTTGAAACTTTCACAACACTTAGGATTTTCAACTCTTCTGCAGAAAACACCCTACATTGTCATTTTCGCTCCTTACCAGTTTGCAACAATGGCTTTCCTTTCTAACGCACCCAACAACCCCAAACCTAAGAATGCCTCCGATGTACACCGCCAACCAGAAATCTTCCCTACAAGCCCCTCTCCTGCTTCGACTGAGGAGCCACGGTACATTTCTGAACCCATGACCAGAGAATGGCGAGAGGCATATGATTCCCAGCTTCTCATCCCTATCAGGTACTCTGAAGATATATATGCTATGGCTGGCCCTCTGTCCACATGCATCGAGAATCCTATGAAGAATCGTACTTTCTTCCTCACTCACCCAAGACTCAAACCTATAGGTTGTGCGAAGAAACCAAGGGACGATCCTGAGGATGCGACTCCAGCTAACCAGCAACACGCTCAGACTAAGGAGGACATTAACCTTCAATTCATGAACAAAGGGAACAGGATCTTTCGATCATGCCCTAATCTCTCTTCTGAGTATTCAGACTGGCTGAATAAGATGGAGAAGGCGCAAACCCCGGTTTGGAAGGAAATGGGGATTTACGATTTGATGATGTTGTCAAAGACATGATTGTCTTATTGTCCTCTTATGTTAGTATCTTCGCTATACTTTTGGGATAACGCCCACTTCACATTTCATCTTCCCTGTGGAATGGTAACCTCAACCCTCTTCGACATAGCAGTGATCACCGGTCTTCGACCGACTGGCGATTATTTCGACCCAGAGGATCTATCTGAAGATGTTATTGGGTTTTCAGCTACAAAACCCACATACACCACATTCATCAACCATTTCCATGATAAATCCTCCAGCACTGTGTCGGAGGTGGAACATATAGCTTTTCTGGCTATGTGGTTATCCCGTTTCGTCTTCTGCACCAAGTCGCTTCAATTGACTAAGAAGATGCTCACGCTCGCGACACAGCTTCATCACGGCTACCCCCTCTGTCTGGATAAATTGATTTTGGACAATCTATATGAGTCCATCAGCAATGGTGTGACTGTTTGCTGGGAATTTCGACCAGGATAATAAAGGAATCATTCATTTAAATTTCTACAAGATGGCTTGAAAAAGCTATAGACGAAGTATGTTGTTACTAGATCTGAGTCGAAGAAGACAGTTTGAAAGGACAAGTGTTTTTATTTTGTCAAAAACGCGCGTTTCGGCGGCCGCGTGAGAAAGTTGTTGCTGAAGGCTTGAGCGGGAATGTTTGAAATTCGAAATAGTTTCTTTGGATAAGAAAGACGCGTGGAAGCCTTAGAGTGTCGAAAGACATGCAAGAAGCGATGTGGCTTTTCATTAGAATAATACTGTTATGGTTAGAACATTATAAATATTTCCTTAGTGTTAGGGAGAAAGGAGGATCATAATTCGTACAAAATTACTCATAAGATACTCAAGTACCAAGTTACAGAGAAAGAGTTCATTGAGAATGTACATATGACATCACACATTTTATCTTTGAAATGCATTTATCAATATAATTTCTTTTGAACCATTCTTTTACGTACTCCTGCAATTTTTCTTAATTTCTTTATGTTCTGTCGAATTGCTTCATTCTCTTGTAAAGCTTTATGTATCAAGTTTCTTTTAAAAGTCTCTTTCCTTTACAATCAAGCCCTTTAATTCCAGTTTTAAGTCTTTTCATTGTCAAGTATTTACATTCAAACCTTTTTTGATTAAGACGTTTCGTCCAAACCTTTACATTTGAATTTAGTTCCAGAAGTCTTTGTATTTTAAGCCTTTACACAAACACATGCACAAGCACTACGTCGTGTTTAACATAAACTATCAAGTAAGTGTTACAATTAATGTTAAGACACATGTCCTAGGATCAATCTAGTCGATCCTGCGAGTAACCATACATATCAAATTTGTTTGGAAGACTAGCGGTTGTTTTGCCAGAAATCACAGCGAACAAATTGGCACGCCCAGTGGGACTGTGTCATAACGTTTTAAGAAAAAAACCAGTTGTAATCATAACAGACGGTTTAAAAGACTATTTTCTGGTAAAATACGCAAAAGCGTTGTATGAACCTTAGGAGTGGCAGAATTATTAGTGAATCTCAACCAATACCTAAGAAAAAACATACCAGAAGAATGGTTAACACAACTAATGATCAAGGAGGACAAAATCCTCCACAAGGATCAGGAACGGTCGGTACAAATTCGACAACTAGTTCCCAGGCCATTCCAACATCAATAGGATCAATGGCCATAACTAATTCGAATCCACCTTACACGGGAACTGTTTCTGTGGCTAGTTTGACCAACGTGCCCCCCTTTGGGGGTACATCAGAGTCTCTTTCGAATACTCAAAATGGCCCTATTTTGACATATGTAGGAGGCCAAGTACCACCTTTGACACCCCCCAGGCCACCAGGATTCGAAAATTTTAGGCCTTGGACAAAACAATCATATGGAGGGCCCTCATCATCATTCATGTGTGGTTTACACAATAACACTTTTGCATATACGCAACCTAACATAAGTACTTTTTTGCCGATTCAAAATGTTGGTTCAATTGGTCGAAGCGCCCAAAACCAAGGCCTGTCAGCCCAGATGCCTGCTTTAACAACAAATACCCAGGCAACACTTAGACAACAAATGGACGCTAGTAACCATGATATGGTTGGAATATTGGCGAGGGAAATGAATACTATTTTTTCTCCCCTAATCCAGAATATAAATAGAACCAATCAAGAAAACACCCAATCATACCAACAGTTGTCAGCGCATATGGCGCGAATAGCGAATTTCTTTGGGAACCCCCAACCACCTGTTCGACGCAGGAAGAATATCATAGGAGTTCAAGAAGAACCAACCATAAACCATGTTCAACAACCTAGACAAAATATTGTCGAAGAACCAAGAGTTGAACCAGTAGGTATTCGACAGCCAAATCTTGAGGAACCACCCAGGAGAATAGCCATGGTCAATAGAGGCCAAGATGTAGATGAAGTTGTTCATAGAATGAGACAAGACAACCTGTTGGTCAAAAATTATATAACAAATATAGTCAAAAGAATCATGGCTAATAATGGTTTAAACACAGGGTTTCGACGCCCCAACTACACTTCCCTCATAGCAGAATTTATTCTGCAAACAAAATTGCCAAGGGGTCACAAGATCCCAAAATTCACCAATTTTTCAGGGGATACAAATGAATCCATTATTGAGCACATAGCCAGATATTTGACAGAGTTAGGAAACTTGGCAAACAATGAAGACCTAAGAATAAAATATTTCCCTAGTTCACTAACCAAAAATGCTTTTACATGGTTCACCACATTACCTCCTAGTTCCATAGATACGTGGTCTTACTTAGAGAAATTGTTCCATGAACAGTTTTACGTGGGACAAACGAAGATAAGTTTGAAGGAATTGGCAAGCGTAAAGAGGAAATTCACAGAACCCATAGATGACTACCTGAATAGGTTCCGTCTTCTGAAATCTAGATGCTTTACTGTGGTGCCTGAGCATGAGTTAGTCGAAATGGCTGCAGGTGGATTAGATTATTCCATTAGAAAGAAGTTAGATA